TTTGTTTTTGTTTTTTCTCCGGTACCGGGAACCGAACTCACGACCTTGCGCTTGCCAGGCAGGCGCTTTTGCCGCTGAGCTAAATCCCCAGCCCTAACAGCTCAATTTTAATAGTGCTATCCTGAGTAATGAGCTAGATCACCAATGACTTACCTGTATGCTGTACTTTTTAGAAAAAACAAACAAAAAATGGTATGAATTATTTGTTACATTTTTTTTCTATTATTTCCCCAAACCTAAATGCATAGCAATAAAAAACACTGATGTTTTATCTCTTTATCTTATCAGAATCTCTCCAATTATCAGCTCTCTGCTTCAACCATCAAAGTTTTACAAATATTAAAACAAGAAACAGCAGGGCGTGGTGGTACATGCATGCCTGTAATCCCAGCACTCGGGAGGCTGAGGCAGGAGGATCTTTGAGAATTTGAGGCCAGCCTGAGCTACAAAGTGAGCTCAAGGTCAGCCTGAACTGCATAGCAGGACTCTGTCTCAAAAAGACAAAAAAAAAAAAAAAAAGGAACAAAAAAGTATTAAAACAAATCTAAAGTAAAAGAAAAAACACAAGCTTATAAAATGTGAATGGAGATTTATTTACAGCTTAATCCTTCCCAGTACTTACAATCATCCCACTGGATGAGGACACCAGATAATTACTATTTCGAGGTCTAAGCAAAAAATAAACCACTGTTTGGAGAATGACTCTTGCCAGCTGTTACTGGCTTGTCATCTTTACCATAACACAAATCAATATTAGATTTAGGGAATGGATTTAGTCCTGCAAAAGCAACTAATGCTTATACAAAATATGCAGTAAAATTATTCTAATGAAAGAAATTATTTTGAGTTCAGAACAATTATTTCAAAGAAAAAAGAAACAATTATTTCCATTTCAAATGCAAAAGCACTGAACACAGCAGTCTCATAGCTGGTCTCCAAGTCAGGAGGCTAAGGTCCCTATTCTGACTCCATACACTAACCACATAGCCTCCAGGGCGGTAAGTGAAAGTTAAGCGAACTTTCCTGGATTTGTTTTAATCCCCGTATAAAATGAACAAGTTAGATGAAATAATCGCAAAGGATTCTAAAAACCTTAAAAACCCCAAGACTCTAAAGGATAACTTTTCTTTTTCTTTGTTTCAGCATAGAACACCTACAGACCCCAACAACAGGGTCACAGAGCTCAGACGAATCCCCTCCCACAAGTACTCAAGGGCATCTGAGGTAGTTTAAGAACACTTTACATACAAGAAAAGAAAAAAGAAAAAAAGGAAAACTTTTAAATCTGCCTTCAGGTAATTAGGCAGTATTAATTCGTATTCCACACCCTCCATCTAAAAAAAAAAAACACCCATGAAAAACAAAAATAAAAAACCAGTTAAGGATTAACTCTATAGCTCTCAACCTCATTAGAATATTTTATAATACTAAAAACCTGACCCAGTGGCAATTACTTGTCATTCAACACTCTCCAAAACAAAAGTTCCATAGGTAAAAAAAAAAATCATAGCAATAAAGCAAAAATTAGGGGGGAAAATCAAAGAAACGAACAAAGGAAACAGAAAACCATGTGCCCCAATAATCCAACACTGAATGAAGGCCTCCCTCCCTTTAATTCCAATAAAGGGGCTGTTAATAACACCAGAGGCTGCCATGCTTGTGTCAAAGAACAATACTCACAATAATGATCAGGCCCTCAGAAGTTCGCAACACTCCTTTCACCTTGAAAAAGGGGCTTTCTTTTCCAAAGATTCAGTCACTGTAGCCGATCCCTCCATGAGGGAAGGAGAAGGGGCCTCTTCTTGAGGGACAGAGAAAGAAAAACCGTTTAATACAATCTCAAGGCAAACTGAAAGCAAGACAGAGAAGCACATATACTAAATAGGGCTCAGCTCTTCAACATGGAGTGTGTAGGAAATCTCAAAAGCATCAAGCACTGTTTCCCTTTTCCTCCCTTTATTAGCATGCAGAAAAAGGACCCCTCTGTCTCCACGCACGGAATGAAACAGTGAAATGCTCCTGGCTTCTACTCACAAAGACTCCTTGGATAAAAGATTTTTCTCTTTTTCAGTGGGAGAGGAGAAAGGGAACCTTCTGTACCAGTCCATATAGATAGAACTGATTCCTCTCCTTTAAAGGTAGTCTTTATTTTTCTCGGGAGAGCAAGCAAAAGGAAGAAGTCAGAATCATACTCTGGGGTGGTACATGCAGAGGAGGCTGTGTAAATAGAAGGAAGCTCTTTTTTTGTCACTGGAGCAAGCAAGGGCAACGAGAAAGGCCACCTCTAACCAGTAAGAAGTGATAGGTTCAGTGGACAAAGGAAAGGCTGACTTCTGGCATCTGATGTCGCTTCCTCTTAAGAGTACTGACCTGCTCCCAAAAGCTGTCTTTTTTTTTTTTTTTTTTTTTCTGATTATTTTCAGTGAGGTCCTCTTTATTAATTTGGGGAACAGAATATAGTAGAATCTAAGAGATTGGCTCTTCACCCTGGGGTGGGGAAAGTCTTCCTTTTCTGCAGAAAGGACACACTGAACACTTGTTATTATGGGCTAGGAGAGAGGGATCGGCAGGCACAAAAACATCTGCCGCTGCTTTGTGCAAGATAATGGTTTTCTTTCTTAACAAATTAATAGGAACAACTTAGCAAAATTTACTATGTACTAAGCAGTTACACAAATTCTCCCTTATTCCTCAACAATTCTAAGAGTTCCCAAATTAGAGATGGGCCAATGAAAACTTAAGTCATGAGCCAAGGTCACAAAGCTGTTAAGTGGAAGATACAGGCTTGAAACTATCGTACTTCTTCGAAAGTCACGTTCTTAATTGTGCAAGGGAAAAGGAGCCCATCGCACATCAAGCAACTCGAAGGAAGAAAAGTGAGGGACATGACGGCGACGGCGGCGGGCGAGGGGGGGGGGTGCCCCGCTGGCTTCTAACGCCATAAAGTAAATTCAGTGTTTTCCCTAAATGTTGGGGTTAAGGTGAAAAATGAAGGCGAGAAGGTACTCTAATTCTATTCATAGGGGGAAGGAAGATCGCCTCTGTCACTCCGAGAAAAGTTGAGTTTCCCTCGTCACCTGCAGGGCGCTGACCAAAAGCGGGGGTGCGGGGGGAGATACCCCTTACGGGTAAGTTCAGAATTCCTGCCGCATCCTGGAGAGTCTTTCTCCGCTAACAGCGGTCCGAGAGCCAAGGGAGAGCGCAAGCCCACGACAAGGGGCGCCGTCCTCCACAAGAAGTTGTGGGACCCCTGCCGATGCAGGAGTCTCCCCCGACGCAGGATGTGAAGAACCCATTTTCCTCTAGGGAGGCGAGGCCTGGCCTCCTGCCTGTCTGGGTCGTTCTGCCGCCCGCAAGAGCGCAGCCTCCGTTCCCTTCCGCGCCCCCGGGGCGGGGGAGGGGGGCGCCGGACCCCCCTTTACCCAGCACCGCCCGACAGAGGGTCCCCGCAGGGTTTTGCGGGGCCGGGCAGTTATGCCGGAAGCTTTCTGACCTCCAGCCTCTTACCCTGAGACCCGCTCCGCGTCCTGCGCTTGCCCCTCCAGCTTGGTCTCTGCAGAGGCAGCCCGATCACCGCCAACTCTACCTGAGCCTGCGGACCCGAAAGCCCGTGGGCGCTCGGGCCACTACTGCCGCTCCGTCTCTATGGTCCTCCCGCACTTCCTCATCCGGGGCCCGACCCAGCCATGCGGAGTCGCCCAAGGACCGCCCCCGCACCGCGCGCGTGCGCGCGCTCTCCAAGGGAAGGCTCTTCCCACAAGAGACCTGCGGCCCTCCGCTGGCCACAGCAGCCCTCAACCCCTCCCCTGTGGTTCAGACTCTTAAAGGGGAACACACCTTTGGGCTGGGCTTCTGCTGAGGCCCAGGACCCAGGGCCCAGGGCCTTTGCTACCACCCCTCTTCACTATTTTTCTGGTCTGAACATGTGCTGTTCTAAGAAGCATCCCTGTTTCCACTCTGGAAGCTCAGGGAGGCCTTTTAATAACTGGAATAAAAGTATCGTATGTCACATCACTAACCTCTGGTCACACTGACCAGTACATCCAAATGACACTTCTGTTTCTAGTTGTTTACAACACTTTGATTTCATATCGTCACCTATTTAAAGCTAGATGGATGTACCATGTGTTTCATCATTTGACCTGTTTACCATCTGGTCCTTTCCACCCCTGCCTTGTTTAACACTATGTTCGCCCCACCCAATGCAGTATTTGGCAGACCTTTGAAGGAAAGAATTAACCCAGAAGAGCATTGAGCATGTTCAATGAATGCAATCCATTTCCTCAAAATCACCCAGATAAATGTTAAAAATAGGAATCTTCTTGGAGACTAGTGAGTGCTGCCATAAACCTGGGAGTGCAAATATTACTGTCATATGACATCTTTAACTCTTCCAGGAAGATACCTAGAAGGCGAATAGTTGGGTCAAATGGAATTTCTGGCTTCAGTTTTTTGAGGAACCTCCATACTGATTTCCACAGTGGTTGTAGTTTACATTCCCACCAACCATCTAGAAGGGTTTCTTTTTCTCCCCTGACTTGCCAGTGTCTGTTATTATTTTGATTACTTGATGACAGCCACTTTCCAGAGTAAGATGGCATCTCAGTGTTTTAATTTGCATTTTTCTAATGGGCAGGGATGTTGAATATTTTTTCATGTATCTACTGGCCATTTGTACTTCTTCTGAGAAGTTTCTACTCATTTCAGTTGCCCATTCTTTGAGTCCTTTATTTTTGGTGGTCTAATTTTTTTTTTTTGAGTTCTCTATATATTCTAGATATTAGTCTTCAGTGAAAGGAATAGATTGCAAAATTTTTTGTCTTTGCACTCTGTTGGTTGTTTTCTTTGCTGTCCAGAAGCTTTTTAACTTGATATAATCCCACTTGTTGAGTCTTCATTTATTGATTTGATGTCACCCATTTGTTATTTTTTGTGCAACTGACTTGTTCAGAAAGTCCTTGCCTGTCTTTAAAAAGTTACCTAGTTTACCTTCCAGCAGATTAAGTGTTTTTGTTTCAATATTTAGATCTTTGATCCATATGGCTTTAGTTTAGCACATAATGAGAGACATGAGTCTAGATTCTATCTTCTGCATGTAGATAGCCAGTTTTCCCAGGACCATTTGTCAAAGAGGCTACCTTTCCTCCAGTGTATGTTTCTGGTTTTGTTTTGTTTTGTTTTGTTTTTTGTATCGGGAATTGAATTCAGGACCTTGCACTGGCCAGGCAGGCACAATGCTGCTGAGCTATATCCCCAGCCCTCCAGTGTACATTTTTGGCCTTTTTCTAAAAGATCATGTGGCTAAATGTGCTTGGGATTGTTTCTGCATCCTCTTTTATTCTATTAATCTACCTGTGTGTTTTTGTCCCAATACCGTGCTGTTTTTATCACTGTAGTTTGTAATACAACTTGAAATCCAAGATTGTGATGCCTCATGCTTTGTTCTTGTTGCCCAAGATTGTTATGCTATTCTGGGTCTTTTTTGGTCTCACATGAATTTTATAATTATTTTTTTTCTAGTCCTGTGAGGAATATTATTGGTATTTTAATTGGGATTGTGCTCAATCTACATATCAGTTTTGGAAGTATGGCCATTTTGACAATATTGGTTCTGACTACCCAGGAACAGGGGATATTAGTCAATTTTCTGATGTCCTCTTCAATTTCCCTTTTTTTTAAAGTAGTGCAGTTTTCATTGTAGAGATCTTTTACATCCTTTGCTAAGGTAATTCCTAAGTATTTACATTTTCTTGATGCTATTGTGAATAGTAATTTTTCCTAGTTTCTTTCTGAGTGAGTTCATTATTAGTATACATGAATACTACTGATTTTTATGTCCTGATTTTGTATCCTGGTACAGTACTCAATTTGTTTAATTCTAGGAGTTCATTGGTGGATTTTTTGAGGGTCTTCTGTGCAGACGATCATGTCATCTGTGAATAATGGTAATTTGACTTCTTCATTTCCTACACATATCCTTTTATTCCTCTTACATAATTGCTCTGGTTAGTGTTTCAAGTACTATATTGAACAGGAGTGGTGATAGTGAACATTCTTGTCTTGTTCATGGTTTTATTTTATTTTATTGTTCTTTTTGAGACAGGGTCTTGCTGTGCAGTTTAGGCTGGCTTTCAGCTCACTTTGTAGCCCAGGCTGGTCTCGAACTCACAACAATCCTCTTCCCTCAGCCTCCCAAGTGATGAGATTACAAGTGTGCGCCACCATGCCCAGCTTCTTCCTGATTTTAAAGGGAAAGGCTTTAGTCTTTTCCTCATGTAATATGTAGATGGTTGGTCTGTCATGAATGGCCTTCATGAGATTAAGTCAACCTATAGCTATTTTTTTAGGGTTCTTATGAATGGGTGTTTGATTTTGATCAAAGACTTTTTCTACAACAAGTCAGAGCGTGTGCTTTTTGTCCTTGTTTTTGTTTATGTGATTTATTACACTTATTGATTTGCATTCATTCAACCATCCTTAAATTCCCGGGATGAAGCCTGCTTGGTCATGATGTATGTTC